TTTGAATGATCCGATGGTGTTTACCTCTCTTGTAGTAAAGTTTTGTCATCCAAAAATCGTAGGCTATCAAAAATCCACATAATCTATTCCCAACATCTTAATCAATAACTTAAAAATTGAAAGGTCACAACACTTCAAATACCTTGGATATTTTCTGTCTACTGACCTCTAGTAGTCTTACCACATTCAACAAACATTTCTTAAAGTTAAAAGGCTGATCTTTTACATTTTACGCCTTCGACACCTGAGAGTATCATTCGATGTCCTTTCTAAATGTTTTTCTCCTACGTCTTACGACTTCGAACCTACTACTCCTCCGTTATCTTCCCCGGTCTATTGTCTAAGGATTTGATATTGATCAAACGCTTTCTGAAAAGCGTCCCTAGATATGGAACCTTATGAGGTGCTGGCCGACTCCATTGTCAACCAACACCTTGAGGTGTGTGACCATCTGTGCGACTCAATCTTATCTGATGNATCACATCCTTTTCACTCAACCCTCTCTCACTCTATTTCCAATGTTTTCACCAGCAACAAATTCAAACCTTTATAAATACACTACAGTTTTTCACAATGTCATTGTATCTTAATTTTTACGAACGAATAATAAACGAACTACTACCATTGCACAGCATTCCGTGCGTGTTTCCGCGACTATGGTAATGCATTTTATTGTTTCCACAAGGACAGTCTTTTGTCTCTACTGCATTTTTTCTTTTTCATTTTACTCAATTTTATCGAGTATACAAAAGTACAATTTACAGGAAGGGTGTAGCGGCCAATCAGAGGGCTGCCATAGAACACATATAATGGGGAAAGACAGGCGGTGGTGGTGAGATTTGAACACACTTCCTCCGAGGTGATAGTTGGTGACGTTATCACCGGGCGACCACCGCTGGATTGTCCAGTAATAACCTGTCTTCAGTCCAAGATTATTCTATTAGCAGAGCACATACACTTCACGAAGCTTTCTTGAAATTTTTTGATTTACTATTGGTAACTTCAGGGGTGCTTCAGGGAGGAATACTGTCCTCTTTTCTTTTCTCTTTCTGTATTCAAGACCTACCCACTGACCCAGATGATCTTATTTAGTATGCTGCTGATGTCACCACCGGTTGCAAATTCCAAGGCGATTTCCATTTCTCACAGCTTGAAACCAATATATCTGTCTTAAACATATTCCAAATTCCAAATTATCTATGAATGTCTGTAAATGCGGTGATGTCTCCATCGCAATTAGCCAAAAATTACCCTTTTCTGAAAGAAATTGCTCTGTACCTTATGTCCCCCAGAGAACGTTCTTCACAATACTTCGGTGTTATCATCCGCCAAGATCTCACCTGGAATTCACATTTAACTCTACATTTGAAAATATTCAAATATCGTGTTTCTTTATGTCCCGTTTTGTATAATCTAGTGTTGTCACTCACCTTTTATTACTGCTTTCCAGTTTCATTTGCCTACCTTAGAGATAAAACCACGTAACTATCTGAGGTATGTTAACATTATTTAACATCGAAGTGGTATTCCATATTTGCACTAGCTCAACTTCCTCGCCTCTTGTGAAAAACCTATCCAGGCAAATTCTATTAGATATCACTCACGGATTACACAAAGAACTTAAACAATATGTTGCCACTTACGTGATTAGGTGACATTATAAACTTGTGTACATTCGTACCACTGCCTACCGTTTGTCTGTTATTTCTTATCTTTCGATGTTTCTGGCACATCAAGCTTCTCTCAGAGGTAATTATTTACAAACCCTCGGTAGATGATATCCATTTCCACATTTTACACCACCTTTCTATCCTAAAGTTACGACGCTTTTTCTTACATTTCTCTGTGCATGAAGATGTCAGGCAAACTTTTTCGCTTTGGGGAACTGGGAATTTCCGATTGATATCAAAGAGATGAAAAACTGAAAACATACAATGAATGTGCCAAGGTCGATCATGTTCCGTACTTATTGAGGAGATTGCATTGCGAGGACTGCGCGATGTTCACTAAGCCCCTAAATTTATCAGTTACACTCGGCCTCAAATATCGATCAGAATCCTTTAAAGATCAAAGATCAGACTGACACGTTTTGAGTGAATCAGTGCTATTTCTTGTGATTAATGTAAGGGGACAGAATCTTCTGCTTGACGTAAACACTCTGAATATAAACCCTTATTATGTCTTAGGTATGGGTCAATTCTTTTTACTTTAGAACTCAAACACCCGCTCATTATCTCCAATACAGAACGCGCAAAAAGACGTTCTCATAACAAGTTGATCCCGCTGGTTGGCGAAAGTGTGCAAATCAGGGAGTGACCAGGGAGAGACTGGTCATAAACTGATGTGGTCAAGTTACTCATAAGGTGTTCTTCTAATATCTTTCAGCGTCAAACAAAGGGTAGTGGACGAAATCCTCTATCGAGAGAGAGAAAGGGAAGGGGCGGGTGAGAGAAAAACAGCGTGACCAGGTGAATGCACCTGGGCTGAGAGGCTTGGTAAAAGAACGAAAATTGGTCGGATATCGATCATCGCATCTTGGCAGTGTGTTTCGATGATGTCGGGCGGCAATAGGGAACATAGAAAATCAAAGCGTATACACATTGTAATCAAAATGGAGTTCGGTTTGTATTCGGGATGTGTATATGCGTGTATGTGTGTGTGTTGGCACTAGTGTGCAACATGTATGCATGCGTGTCCGTGTGTATCGATCAACTGGGTCCGAACATGCCGCCACTGGCTGGAGCGACTGTTGATTGGCTACGGTCTCCAAGGGTTGATCTCAACTGACCTGAAAGCATAGAGAAAAAATGATCCAGTGGTGAGCTATTTCACACAGACTGGCATACATTCACACGTACAACTTATCAACGGGACATGAAAAATGCGCAGAAATGGGATAGGATTAACTGAGATAAAACTACTACTCCAATCGGAGAATCAGAAGCTGATCGATTGAAATCCGTTGAAGAAAATGTGTTGAAACAGCACTGAAGTGACGAGGAAAGAGAGGGTGGGGGGTAGAGCAACGGACCTGGATGTACTTGAAGTTGTCTGGGTTTTTAACACGACGAGAGACCATTATCTGCTGCTAAATAAACGAAAGGCACGAATCAGCTCAAATGTGGCCGGCTGCAGCAAATTATTCCTCTGTCTCTGTGTCAGAAAAAGCGATGAATCCGGGTAAGCGTTTGCTGATGATCCGGATTGAGTTATTATGGTGTTGAGTTGAACAGTGAAATCTTTCACTGAAGGGGTGAAAGAGTTGAAGAGTGAGTTTAAAAAGAACACGGATGTGACGCATCACAATAAGTTCTTAATAACCCATGGGGGGGGATGAAGCTTAAGTCTAACAAACGGAAGGAGATGAGAGGGAGAAAGATTGCTCTATGATGAAGATGATGATGATGATGATGACGAGCAGGAAGATGCTGCTGATAATGATGATGACGATGAGCAGGATGATGATGATGGTGATGAATGCATGAATGAATGAAATAAACCCGACATTTACTCAGTACCACCAATCGCTCGAATTCAATCACATCAAATACATGAATGAATGCTTTCCCCAGATCTACAGGGAGAAATAAAGAGTGACAAAAGTCATATTTTATCCAAATCAGAAGCTGTTTTGATCTGTATCAACTTATGCGAGTGGTAACCAATGATTCACACCTCGCAAGAACGAATTAGCTGGTGTTTGGTTCATGTTTGATATGTCACGCCTCATGTTGGTTGTGTGGCTTTCCCTTCCCAAAGCGAAAAGGAATCAATGAACTGCCGCGACGACAACATCAAATGCGTCGTGCATCCAACTAGGCGACATAATTCACCGGTTGTGCTCACAATCATGATGATGATGATTAGGCGGTTCTCACAGTTTCCGAGACTTGACGCTTCTTGTTGTCCCGTTAATTCATAATCGGTTCAACTTAGATTTGTGTATAATAACCGATGAACAAATCTCTAGTGCTTGATTGAGAGAGAAAATAGACTGAGATCGACTAAACAAGAATAGTACACAGATACGAGTGCCCGCGGATATGAATCGGTTAAGTCCGAAACATGTATCACTGACTATATCCCACAGATTTATATTTGAGAAAATCGACTTCACTGTCAACAACAATAATGCTCGTAGTTGTTAAGTGAACAATTTCCGCTTACCGCTTCACATAGTCGCTCACACAAGCCNAAGCCAGTCCGTGCTTTCCAATAAGTGCTTTGCGTACTGGAATCAGAGACGGGGATGGTCGTAGTCGACTTGATTCTTGGTGTGTAGTTCTCGGTCGATCAAACGCCGACGAACTGGAGACAGAGCCACGTGTGAGTATAGTCATCATCTTGGTTGACTGTCTGGGTAACAGTGTGGTAGGCACCCCGACTGAGTCAGTGGTCATACGTGGCCCGGTGTTGCATGCGGTGTTTGTTGTGCATGTCACTGGACCGGAGGAGGAGGAGGGCGATGATGCATTCATGCCGA